TCATTCGCGAACAAGGGACACTCCTTCAAAATGGGACTATCTTGGAAAGGAGAGGAAGACCCAGAGGCCGCAGCCGCCGCAGAACTTCCAAGATCGCGGAAATCTTGTAAGCTTCTTTCGTGTTTAATAAACGGTTGTGTTGTTTGTAAACGAAGCATCTATCTCTGACTCAACTGCTTCCACATGTCGTTGATTGTTACCGCTCGGCAATCCAAACGGCAAGGGAGACGATGACGATATATATCACATATTATCGTTCGTCGAAAGTTTTTAAATTTCTCCCCCCCTCGGCCCCCACATTGGTGTCAGAAGTTTGGGATATTTTGAGGAAGATGGGGTTGCCCATACCTCATCATCCGCACTCCCTACTTGGTGAGGAAGCCGAGGCCCAAAATTCATTTTGGGAGCTCAGGGAGCACGAATGATGAAGACAGAGACTGATGCTTCGTATTATTTTGTAATTTAAGTGGCAGCCCACTCGCGTTCTTTGACCTTTGGAGAAATGGACAATTTCCCTAGGAGATTGGGCGTGCTGCTGATCAAACGCGTTAGAATTAGATCATCGGACGTCGCGGACACAAACGACCGATGAGCAATTTAGATTTCGATATAGATTTAGAAACATAGATTTATAGATCTAAAATAAACCTAGAATAGAAGCATAGGCATAAAAAAAAATTTACACGCGTAGTTTTAATTTGCGGCAGGAGAATGGCAGATTAGGATAATCAATTATCTAATCGAGTTCTCAGTTTTGTTTTGGCAATTTAACTAAGCAAACAATTGTTCTGCCAAAGCGATCTCTTGCAAAATAGTAGAGATACATATAAACTTATACGAATAGAATAGTTTATAGAAAAATATATATGCGAATTTGCAAAAATTAGAATAAGTAGAATTATATAAGAATTTGAGAAAAAAATAGATAAGATAATTGTAGAAAATATATCGAATAATCCGTAAAAATAGACGGACTAATAGAAATATAGAATAAATTCTGTACATCCAGAAAAAGGATTATGCGATGTAGAAAAAAAAAGTTATAATCGGCGCGAAACACTGGCTTATGAGTATCAATATGAGGAAGCAGAGAATCACTTCTTTGCGCTCTTCTGTGAGTCTGATCCGTTTTAAAAGCGAATATTTTAATTAGAAGAAATGAATAGAAGACTTTGTAGAAATAGCCAGAATAAATTATAGAGTAGCTGTAATATTTTGTGGAAATAGGAAAGTAGAAACGCGCATTAAAACTCAAATAATCCGCATGAAATCACTGGGTTTTTGGTGTTGGTAGGAGCGAAAATTTTGCATCCTTCTGCGAGATTAACAGAAAAAGGAGAACGCAAACGACTTTAAAATTTAATAATGCAGCGCGACGAAACGCGATCTTTTAAATAATAAGAGGTATATAATTGCACGCGAAAGAAAAATAAAGGGAAAGTTAAAAAAAAAAAAAATTCATAAAGTCCAAAGAGTAGCAGCATAAAGTTTCCTTTGGAAGACAGAACCTGTTTACGACGTAACTACATCATTTCCCCAAACCAAAGGTCGAAACAGATTATTGCTGCCGACTCGGATCAAACAAAGTATAAACTGTAAAAGGAGAGCTCTTTCTCTTTTGTTAAAGAGGACAGAGGTCACCTTAAATGAAAATGTTTCGGAATAAGAAAAACAATACAAATTATTTGTCGTGAATTGATAATGTCAATGTTACTTGATTGTAGACAACTGATGATACAATCCGATTATAATGACAGAACAATGTGTTCTTCGGTGAAAATTTTGTTTAGAAGTAAATATGTAATTTGGTTAGAACCTGCATTAATCGACAGGATATATGGTTGTCGCGAATTGAAATTTGTCAATGGTATTTCCCAGAAAAAGTTTCGACATGATATGATCACCATGAAGAAACGTGATCCGATTGTGTTTAAACGAAAATTTTGATTGTAATTCATTACAGAATATTGCTTGTACTTGTATTATTGAAACAGTTATTTTGTTATGGTAAGAAAACTCGCATTTTGAAGGAAAAACAGAAATGTCGCGATCGAGTTTTCCTGTGACGAACATTGGTTAAAGATAGAGTAATTCATATGGTTCAAGTTTTAGGAAAATTTCTTTCATCCCAAAATTTATATGAAAAAGTAATTATATCAGTCACAACCAAAAACTGGCTTAAATGCACCATTGTAAAACGGAGTATAGAACAGAAGTAAATCGGAACACGAAGTTGAATGAGGACCTTGATTTGCGGTAATCTGCTTTGGAAGAAAACCAATGACAGAAAACTGTCACTTGTTCAATTGATAGTCCGAAATCACTTCCGAATTCCGAATTAATTTTCAATCAACCAATCGATTCTGGGAAACGTAGACTTAGAACAGTGACCTTGATTTGAGACTGACTGCATCCAAAAGATGACAAAGTTGTTACTTGTTCGAAGAACCGAAACTCAGATATCGAGTTGATTCAAATAATTGAAAAATACTCCGGCAAATTTTCCCTGGAAATTTGAACAAGGAGATACAGCCAGCAACAAAAGTAAGTAACTCGAAGTTAGGTCAACACTCCGTGTACCGGAAGTGACGGCACCTAAGTAAACTTTTACATAGATTTTCTAAGTGTGACAGATAAAAGGTTGTCCCTCTTTTAGGCTTTAATAGAATTTTGTGAATGATTTACGAATTATGTGAATTGCTCAGTCTAAAAACGAGAAAAAAAAGTTTTAGAAAATTTTTGTCGAGCATTTAAGTTGTTAAGATGTTATTTGATGACCGTAATTGTTGTTTGAATGTTTGTAATCAATCTTATAAACAGACATGTGATGTTACGCGAACATTTGGATGAATTGTAAACAATTTCTATACCTCTGAAATAATGTATCGAAAAAAGAACTTTGTTGTAACACGAAACCGAACGCGTGCCAGAGAAAAATAGTTCTCAGGCAAGTGTCACTGTTACCTCACTTGGCAAACAAAGGGAGAAGGGACTGACAGCTTCCAGAGCTGCCAGCTAAAATGTCGTTATTGCGTTACGACATTTTAAAATGGCGGTGAGCTCTGTGAGGCTCTGGACAAGTCCAAACCCTCACTAAAATTCGCGGAAAATAATTGTTTTAGAGAAAATAATATGTTAGTTAGAAATAGATTTTTATTTTATGAAAACGTGACGCCAACTTCTAAACAATAGAAGAAAGTAAGTCCGTCGATCATTTCCGGTGGGAGATCGAATTAAACTTCGATTTTGACCTCTCCCGCGCCCCAAAAGGTTTCGAATTGTCGTCAGGTGACGACGGGAGACCAATCGGAAAGGGAAATCTGAGAGAAAACAGATAAAACCCCGGAAATTCGAGGACGCGACGGCTTCTTCTCCCGAAAGTTCCAAGNTATGTGGTGTGTGATGAGGCTTTTAAATTAATAATTTGTAAATAAATAATGTACTAATGTATGAATATTTCATTTTATCAAGTATGAAAATTTGTATTTAATTAAAATATTAACTCATTCGTCAACTTTGATAAGAACTCTGTGTTTAGAAAATATTTCGATGCCTTCATCCATTTTGGTCAGTTCTTTTTCGAGCAATTCCTTTTTTTTCTTTGCTCTTAAAGTATCACAGCACACGGGTAAATGTATATATTCACGCAACAATTCTTCTTTATCTAGAAAAATAAAATAATTTGATATCAAATTAATGTTTTTATTGCTTTGGCAATTTTTAAGTTAACAGTTTTAAACAGGATAATTGTATACATACTTTTCTTGAATTTTTCTAATGTACTTATTCTTTCCTCTTCACTTAAAACTATGTGACCAAGAGGAATGGAAGGATCCACTTCTTCCTTCTTTCGCTTCAATTCTTCTTCTTTCTGTTCATACTGTCTTTGTATCAAGCTATAAAATAATTATAAATTAATCAGCCTTGAGTTGTCTAGAATTAATTAATTCTAGACAACTCAAGGCTGATTAATTTGTTTATTGAGTTGTCTAGAATTAATTAATTCTAGACAACTCAATAAACAAATCCTGACAGGTTAAGAAATATTTTTCTAGTACATCATTGGTTTAATTAGTTAAAATAGAATGGCCAGGTAGTGAGAGCAGGGCCTAACATATTGACCAAATCATCCATGAAGTAATGAGGATATGAGCCAGATTTGAATGCAGATTTCTTGTGAAGACAAGCTGAAACCTTATAGTCTCAGCCTTATGGCCTACATAGTATAAAAATTATAAATTTGTAATTTTTAATTGTCATTACCAATGCATTTATTTTTCAGTATATTTATTCATTTTACATTGCTGTTTGTGTAAATTTAGCCAATGTTGGCTCAATGTGTTAAAGTATTATTTTTAGTTAGCCTGAATATTCAAATCTTTGACCTGGCAAAGTATTTGTGGTTATCAGAATTTAATGAGAATTGTTGATAGGGATGCTTTAAAGCTGCCAGGAAATAACTTTGCACATATGAATTAACAAAAAATTTAAAAGTAATTGAATGAAATTAAGATTATTCTATACATAAAAAAATCATTGCCTTGGGATAATAATGTGATATGGGTATATTTTCATTTATATCAAGAATAAATGCTACTGAGTAAAATTTTCATTACATCTGACTCTGAGATATTACAAATGACTACCTCACTATTGTTCTATCTTTGACATTTAACTACCAAAATTTAATTATCATCATCAATGCCCTATATATAGAAATAATCTTGCCAAATTTCAGAATTTTTGGTTCATGATGTCCTGATATATAATGCAAAATAAACACATGCACACATATACATGATGTGTTTATTTTATAAGGTTTTATATTTTTGGTTCCTGGAATGTCAAATTTTCAGAAAAAAAAAAAAAACTGGGTAGGAGTCAAAATTTGATTGATCATCATACTTTTTCTATGTTATATTTTATAACAACCAGGTAAGTAAAAATGAAAAAAATTATTAGAATCAAGATTCATTTGGTAAAAAACTAATAATAAACCATACATTAACTTTCTACAAAAATTTTGTATAAAAAAACACGAGGAAAAATATAAAATTTTATGTACTGTAAATTAAATTAATCGCCAAATTTATAAAATATACAGTAATACCATGACTTATGTCGATTTCCAAGCAGTCAAAACAAATGAAAACTAACTTTATTAATATTTTGTAACAATGTTGTCAATTGAATTCAACATAAATAATAAATAAAAATATTTCTGTTCTTTTTTATTCTGTAATAAAATAATAAAGAATAAAATAAAATACAGTATAAACAATTACTTTGTTACATTTAATGTATTAGTAAATGGCAACTTATTTACTGTGCTTTAATAGTTGCTGTATGATAGATGCACACTGTGTCTGAATCAGTAAATATCTGTCCCATATATATACACCTGTTAAGTATATATTGACTTATAACTGAGCTATAAAACCAGATCATTACAGCAAAAAGCTGTATAATGAGAACTCAGTGTATTTTAATTATTTATTCTTTTATTTTTGTTGTTTCTTTAACTTAACATTAATTAATATGTATACATTTAAAAGGAATGTTTATTAGGGGTTTAGAGGATCTAAATAGCTTTAAGGAGGGACTTGATACCATGCTGATATATAAATACATAAGTGGATTGATGGGAGAAGGCAATACAACACTTGGAAGATCTGTCAAAGAAGAGTTTTTACCTGGGAGCATTTTCTGTGGAAAACTAGCCCCTATTTAGATTTCAGACATATGAAGAAAACTCAGAAAATTTCATCTGAAGGCAAAAATTGCAATCAACTAAAAGTGTTTAGTAGTTTTATTCATTTGTATAAGTCTAATTATTGATGGGAAATATATAAATGAGATAACTGTTTAGTTCGGGAAGCTCAAAAACTGATAAAATAATTTTGATCAATTACATAACAATCTTCTTCATTTATATACAGCATACAAATACATGTATTTGTAATACATGTTATGTATACAAATACATAACATGTATTTGTATATTAATCATATAACTGACTTAAAACATTTTATTACATGTTTAACTTCCCAAACTAAACAGTTACTTTATTTGTTAACTGAAAATGTTTGCATTATTTAAAAATAATCTTTATTTTTTTTAATTTGATTTGTAGAGGATTTTAAATCTATAAAATAATGTCGTTTTATTTAAAAGGAAAATATTTAATAAATATAAAAAAAAAATTTTATAACACTATTTTAATTTGATAAATAAAATAACTTATCAGAATATATGGCTAGAATGTGATCAGTTTATTTCATCCATTTTGGTGAAGTTAAAATATAGTAGTACTTTAAATATAATTTAAACCAATATTAGGTGAGGGCTCAAGTTAAAATGTGAAAACCTACATTTATCCTGTACCACTGTGGATGTAGCCACTACCACTGGATGAAGAGGAACTCTTAGATATTGTATAAATATGTATATACAGTAAGTACATTTGACATATTCAAATCTTTTTCCTGTAGTTATTTAATTTTTTCTTAAGTAATTTACAAAAGTAAGGAGGGTCCAGGCTGTCCTGGACACCTCCTTAAATATGCTATTGCCATTTTTTTTATCACTGTATAATAATACTAATAATGAACACATTCCCTACAACACTTAAATACTTGAAAAGTATGTAGTCCATGCAGGAGCTTACAAGTCTGAAATGTGTAGGGCCAACAGGTATCTTGATCAGAACTTGTCCTATATTATAATTAATATTGAAAGCTTTTATTTAATTCAAATTTCTTTCAAATGCAGAGATTATGAATAAAAAAACAAATTGATCTGAAGCTAGAATTTTTATACATACTCCAGGATAAACAATTATAATAATATTGGTATATTTTCTCTTTCTAATGTTCATAAAGTGAGGGAAAAAATATTTATTGCAATATTTCATTTAATAATTACTAACAATTAATCAAAGTTTTTATAAATTTTATATCAAATTAAAAGACAAAAAACATTTGTTACATTCCTATCCCTTGAATAATAATCAAATGGATTAATTATGTATACATAAATAACATCTGGATAATTATTTTAACAGAAGTTAAGTATCTTAGATTACTTGAAAAAAAATGAAAAAACTTGGATGTCAGCCAAGAAGTTGAATTATCATTTCCAGTTTGTAGTTGAATGCTATATCACTAACAGTTAGTTTAATAAAAATTCCTTAATATATGAATTAAACAAAAATTTCTATTAAATTAAATATAAATCTTCCTTTATAGGTTTGTCATAAAATTATGAATAAACATAACATGACTGGTAAGACAGCACACATTTCTCTCTCAAGTCTAATTACTTTAACAAAAATTAATTAACTAACTTAAATCTTGACTCTGATTAAATTAAATGGAAAGAAGTAATTAATCAGACAGGCAATATATTTAAAATAAAAGCATGAAGTTAATAATTCAAGTAATAATAATATAATATGATTAAAAATTATAACATTATGGCAGTTCACTATATGAAATTAATTTATTATATATTTTTTTAAATTAGTAATATTTAAATTGCTATTATATACATATAAATATACTTATAACTTTATAAATTTTACAAATTGAATATCACTTTTTGCAATTATTTAAAATCTCTACTTCTATTAAGTTCTACATATGTAATTGTTAGAAGAATAACTTTTTAATACTTCAACAAATACACTTTAGTCTTCATAATTTTAATTCAGATTTTGTAGATATCATATGGATAAAATAGCTTTAGTTATACAAAATTAGACAGATTTCACTTTGTAAAATACTTTAAATTTAATTTCCAATTAGATTTAAAAAAGAATACAATTAGAAATGAATTGGTATCATTGTGCCTATATATATATACAGGGTGTTTATAAATGAATGGTGCTGTTTTAAAAATTAATAATAAATCTATTTATTACCTTATATGGGCAAACCTTACAGCATAAGCAGCAGCAACTGTCCAAGTTTTTTATGCGCTACCTGTTCTTTGTTTGTCATGCTTAATCATGTTCTTCACCAACACTGGATTGGACGTGGTGCAACAGTAGACAACAACCTGCTCTTCTGGCCACCCCATTCACCAGATTTAACACCCTGAAATTTCTTTTTGTGGGGGTTTGTTAAAGACTGATTTTATGTACCATCAATGCCTATGTCCCTTGAGGAATTGTGTGATTGGATAAAGCATGCACTGCAGACCATCATGAAGGACATGCTACAGCACATATGGGAAGAATTTGATTACTGTGTAGATATGTATCGTGTGACCATGGGTGCAATATTGAAGGATTGTGATCAATGCATAAAAAACTTGGACAGTTGATACTGCTTATGCTGTAAGGTTTGCCCATATAAGGTAACAAATAGATTTATTATAAATTTTTAAAACTGCACCATTTATTTATAAACATCCTGTATATATATTATATATATTACATCAAGTAAAAACTTGCATCAATTTAGATGACAGTCAAATGTTTTTCTTAGAGTAAAAATTTTCTTTGGTAAAAATAAGCTAGGCACTTCAAAGCAAAATGTAAAAACCATTAATACAGGTAAAAATCTTGTGGGTACTGTTGTTTTCAAACACAAAGCTTATTTTTACCAAACAAAAACTCTTAAGAAAAAAATTTTATTATTAACTAAATTGCTGTAATTTTTTATTTGCTGCAAATTTTTACATCTCAAATGGTTTTCTTTGGATATCAATTGTTTTTTGGTTAATGACTGTTATTAAATCAAGACTAAGACAATGATGTACTGTACTGTACTGTTCCTTCGATGCTTAGTGACACGATTGCCATCAGTTGAAAGGTTCAATATACAGTAAAATCATTATAAAATGTTTTAATTTGCATAATTTATGCTTTTGTTATTCTAACATTTTGAATGAAAATCATTTGTTTAAATACAATTTTATCCTTACAAGCATAAAATTAAGTGATGAAAGTAAAATAGTTCTACGGGGAACCCTGTGAACTTTGACCTATTGATCTGGAAGTTTTATCAACATCTCACTAATAATGAGTAAAAGTTAAGTCTAAAATTTGAGCTTTCTAAAGCCAATAGTTTTTCTCTACAATCATCTGCAATGCCAAATGAAGAGAAGAAGAAAATACAGTTTTTTTTTTTTTTTTGACAATTTTTCATTTTTCAATTGCTTATATTTCAGCAACACCTTTTAAAGAAAAACCTGAAAATTGGCACACACCTAAGAAAACAAGTATCTTTCAAATGAAATATTCATTTACTACAGGCAAATATTCACTTACTATGGGGAGCAGAGAAATCAATCCCCAAAAATCAGCAACTCTGATTCCTGTATGTATAATCACTCAGTGACTTTTCACTTGGTGCAAAGTCGCTACCATGACTCTCAATTTATTAATTATAATGATTATTAATTTACATGTTTTAGGACAAATTACATTAATTCTAATATCCTCAAAACAATTAACAACATAACCTGTGATTACAATAATATAAAGAGTCTACTGTATTTCAAATTTTATACTTGAGAGGACTGAGTTTGTTTATTAAGATGAGAATAAAGTATTTAAAAAAAATATATTCAGTATGTTTAATTAAAGTAATGGAATTATTTCATTGCATAATGAAATTATTTATCCTAAATATTTTATAAGATTAACAAATTTCATAATTTATAAAATTATTAGTTTATTAAGCTAGTTTTAAATAATACAAAAGCACTATTTTAAGATTATCAAAAATTATATTTTACAATTAATGTTTTTGATATAAATTTAGCTATCTTCAGTATCAAACAAACTTTATAAACATAACAGAAGTTTTACAGTCCAGAAAAAAAGTTGCTTGGTGAAAAAGAGAATTTGAGAACATGAACTGATCTTGATCCAATACAATTTACCATTAACAAACCAAAATAAAATTGTTTGAGAAATTCATAAAAATTATGCACTATTTTTATATTGTTGGTCACCATTTCATTTCATGTTGATATAAAAATTCATAGTAAGCAAAAAAGTAACCTGGCAAATAACATTCTACTTTTGAGAATAAAAAAGTGTTTGGTGAACGAGTGATTGCTATAAAATGCCAGAGTGACCCCTATAAATAGAACTGCATTATACAGGGTGTAGCAGAATGACATTTTAAAAATTTGGGGGATTGTAGAGGATGAAATTTTGAATGTTTTGATATAAGGAACCTTTAGCCGGAATGTTTCTACAGCACTTTGCACATTCTATGCAGTCGGTATGCTAAATGAAGCAGCAGAATACAGTATTTAAGACAAGTTTTATTGACAAAACAGTAGAGTACAATCAAACTGTATATCGAATCAGTGGCTGCACTACTTTAGAGTAAATGTTCAATGTGACAACCACCAACATCGTTACATAATGTGCAACAACAAACCATGTTTTGTCCGACCCTCTGAAAGATGCCACGCTCTCCTCTGATGGTATTAAATGCTGTAAAGATGCACTCTGTAAGCTCAGGAACTGTTCCTACAGATGTTACGAACACAAGGGACTCACATTGACTAGTTGTGTGTTTACAGCACAGCGCCAGTGGATGCAATCTGTAGACCTGAAGGACGACAAGTACTAAGTACACAACATCCTGTACACAGGCTCAGTTAGACCACTATAGTTGTGTGTTTACAATCTTCCATCTGCAGCAATAATATGATGTCAATGGACAGAAGGGTAGCTACCAAAGTGAAGGGCAGTCAAGCACTTCCTACCACTGTAGACATTTTAGTTCAAATTTCCAGCTATAGGTTCCTTATATCAAAACATTCAAAATTTCATCCTGTACAATCCCCCACATTTTTAAAACGTCATTCTGATACACCCTGTATATAATATTCAAATTTTCCAACTTCCAGTCAAAGAAAATCCATTAAAATGCAAGTCTTGTCAAAATTGTATTTCTTATTTTTAGTTTTTCTTTTCCAAACCTTACTTGCAAAATGCATTTCAAAAACAGTTTTCTTTCAATTGTATAATTCTAAGTGGGAAAAAACCAAGAGTAGGAAAAAATACACTTTTGGCAAGACTTGGGTTGTGCTGAACTTTGTCATTATTTAAGTTGGAAAACTCAAAGCATTATCATTAAAAGTAACTGATTATTAGAATAAAACTAATAGTTATTAATTAATTAATTTGAATTTATACAATTCACAATTAAACTTACTATTTGGGGACTTCACCTAACTGATGAATCTTCATTTCTTTTCCTTTTGTTGATTTTATAGATTTGGCATCTGAAGCATTAGATTTTGCAGACCCACAATTAAAAACGACCGATTTTGAAGAAATGTTATCATTATTTTCATTTTTTTTATGTGACATCTATAAAGGAAAAAAACAATTTTTTAAGTAAAATTTTTTAAATATTCAGTTTTATTATTTAATATAAAATAAATAAATTTTTGTGTGTTTAATTTTTCTAATAACTTACAGCACTAAAGTGTTGGTGAGTTGGTACATCAGCATGTGTTTCAGTCTGATTAGATTCTTTAGAAAAATCAATATCTGAAGGATTTTCATTAGAGTCATCTGGATTTCTTTCTTTCAGAGAGGATGTTGAATTATCATCTTCAAAATGAATTAAATCATTATCACAATTACCTCTAATTTCATTTAATTGATTTTCATCTAAATCAGGTTTTGGACTAGGTGATTTATTACTGTTTTCATCTCCACACTGCTGTTACATAAAGAAAATATATTAATATTAAATATTTTTATTTAATACTTATTATCAACATTAATACTTTTTGTAATACACAAAAACCTTGCTAAGTCAAACTGTGTTAACTCAAAGCTGTCAACAAGTCCTGAACACAGTGTGTAGGGTTTTGAATATAAGTCTCATTAAGCTGAAATTGCCAGTATTTTTAACTTGGACTTATTTTTCCATGTACTCTCACCCTTTGATAGGTCTATGATCCTTCCAGATCCACTTTATCCAGATGATTAAGATAAATAAACACTATGGCTCCATGCTGAAAATAATACCATGCCGTTACAACTTTATGTCAATATCCTTTTAGATATTGTATTACCAGCATTCTGATTGGGATACAAGGGGGACTTGACAATATCCTCAAAAGTACCGTAAACTATACACTTTTATAATCATTCTTTGAACAGATTCTTGATAAATGGCATGACAATGGGAAATTTATAGTCACAGAAAAATTTGAGAAAATTAGATGTTAAGGCTCATTAACTTGAAACTCTTTAATTTAAAGTTGGTGTTTTTCTTTTTAAACTTCAACTGATTACGATTTTACTGTAATAAATTATTTTAAAAGTGTTGGCAGATGGTTGCATGAAAATGCACAAGAGACTTTTTTAGTTTTTAACTTTTTCTTTCCTGCACTGTGGGCACTAAAAGGGTCTTCCCTTTTAGTGCCCACAGGGAAAGAAAAAGTCCATTCCCATCATGTGTTCTGCAGAATCACAATGGAGCAGCTAGATGATAAGGGATAGGTCTATTTTTCATAGACAGTCTAGGACAGATTATACATGAAAAATTTTGTGATTTCTGATCCAGATTCAAATTTAAAATCCACAGAACAGCAGACTGACACCTTTATCATCATGGTCATCTGTTACAAGAGACTGGAATTTTGAATATTCAGAAAATTTAGTTTTCTTATGATAGTCTGAGTTAGAAAGTCATTCCCTATCTTTTATCTATGATGGTCATTCAATTGAAAGTTAAGTTCACCCATAATGAACATAAAAAAAGTTGACTTCATACATAACTCAGTGTACTAGTGCTATATGTAAAAATCTATTTTTATTATAAAAATAACTTTCTGTATGAGGAATAGAAAAATTATTTTTATAATATAGGAGGGTAAGAACATTTTTTTTTCTGCTGTAAAAAATGAATTAAAAAAATTACTTACATTAACTGATGGTGGCAAAATAGATAAAGAAGAATCACAGGTTGCTACTGAATTACTTTCATCATTCAGTTTTTCTGATTCAATATTACTGTTTGGTCTTCCCTTTAAATTAAAAACAAAATAAAATCTTTATCAAAAATATTTATTTGAAACATTGATTACTATTTAAATATGTGAGGAACCGAATCCAGACTTGTGTGTTTACATCATTTGTTCATAATATGGTAACTATAAACTTGATAAATAACTGTCAACTTTCACACCTGGGAGAAAAACATCTGTTTAGTTCTCAGGCCTGACAACGATGCTTTCTCATCACCTCTTGACCTAATATCGATTTCAACAGTTCAAAATATAGAACAGAACAACAAAGTAAGGGGAGTTGTCACCAGTTCCTCAATCGGACCACTCAAGTTTTTCCTGTGCTAAAATATTTGGATATCTCCTCGCCTAATATCTAGTTAACTAAGAACTGTGGAAATAAGAACTGTCATCCAGAACTGTCTTCTTTCGTGTCTGACTCACTTGCAGCAGATCAAGATTTCATACAAGGTATTTACAGGTATACTTCGCCTTACGTCGGTAATTGGTTCCAGGAAAACGACATAAGTCGAAAAACGACGTAAGTCGAATTTACCTGTCTCCGAATCTACTTATCACTAGGAAAGCATTTTAAATAATATATGGTTAATAAAAATCTATTTTAAGCTTACAAACAAATAAATTTTAGTTTTTAATATAGTAC